GAATGAGAGGCGAACACCTTAACCTCTAGGCAACGAGAGCCCCGTGGGGGCACTGTAAAAATCTCTGGCGATACTAGAAAGTTGTTTACAATGAACAGAAGGAGAGATAAGGACGATATTTGATACTATTGAGAGGAAACATTAAAAAGGACACGCCTGCACCAGAACACCCGGCCGTCAACCAACCGGTGAGTCACTTTTAAGTAGCTACGTATAATTATAATTTTCGCAATTTTTAGCTCAAGGTGTAGATAGGATGGCCCATTGGTTAGACAGCTGGACTCACGATCGTTAAGGTTGTGTCTCTAATCGTGTCCAGGCTAGTTTGGAGCTGTGATCAGAAAGCAAAATATGAATTATCACTCGTATGCAGACGATACACAGTTATATTTATAAATCTATTCCACCATCAGATGTTAAAACCTTGCTTAACACCATATTATTAGTCTGTGTATTGATAAAGTAAAGATGTGGATGATTGATAATAACTTCCAGCTTAATGAAAATAAAATTGAAATTCTTTTATGTAACCCAAGGAAAAGCCATGTCCCCATAGACTTTTATCATATTTGTACTGAAAATGAAAAACTGTATTTTACTGATAAAGCAAAAAAATCTGGGAGTGTATTTTGATTCTAAATTGTCAATGGAACATCATATCAATTATTTGTGTACCATTTTTTTTGGTGAATTGCGTAGAATTGGTCATATGTCTATGTTTTTGAATGAACACTCGATGAAAACGCTCGTGTCATCTTTCTTGTTTTCACGCATTGATTATTAAATTGCAATGCTTTACTAGCTAACTTACCAAATACCACTCTTCACAAGTTACGTTTTCGAAATCATGCTGCTAGGCTTGTACTAAAGAAAAAGAAGAGGGATCACGTTACTCCCATGTTAAAAATGTTGGATTGGCTTCCCGTGTCAGCTAGAATGTCATATAAAATTGCAATATTTTGTCATAAATGTGTCAATAACAAAGCTCCCTCATATCTTAGTCATCTCATCCAGATTTATGTTTCATCTAGATCACTAAGATCATGCGATCAGTATATTTTAAGAGTTCCTAGAAAAGGGGGTAAAAAATTAGCTGAAAGATCGTTTGCCCACCTTGCTCCATCAGTTTGGAACTTCTCTTCCCCAACCCTTGAGACATACAACATCTGAGTTTAAATTTAAAGAATCTTTAAAGACACATTTAAAGACATAATTTTTACGTCAGTAGATTCATGTTCAGTACAATGTTATTTAAATGACTACGTATCCATTTATGTATTTTGCGAATTGCATTGTGTATATATTATTCTATTATGTATGTGAATGTGCTCATTTCGTAATGATGTGTAAGCGTGCGCATGTGATAAGCAAGTAGATGTTTGTGCGCGCGCGCGCGCGCGCGCGTGTGTGTGTGTGTGTGTATGTGTATGTGTATGTGTAAGTGTAAGTGTAAGTGTAAGTGTGTGTGTGTGTGTGTGTGTGTGTGTGTGTGTGTGTGTGTGTGTGTGTGTTTGGCGCGCATGTGTGTGCACATGTGTGCATGTAATGTGTGCGTGAATGTGTGTGTGCGTTTGTGTGTGTATGGGTGTATGTGTGTATGTGTGTGTGTGTGTGGGTGTGTGTATCATGTGGGTGTGTGTATCGTGTGGGTGAATATTGCTTGTACATGCATTTATGTAAAGCGCCTAGAGCATTATAGAAATGATCTTTATTATTATCATTATTATTATTATCTTCTTGTTTTGTAATCATCAGCAAGGTTATTTTTTCAAAAACTATGACGTCACCAGAACGTGTGATGGGATGACCCCACACTTAGGTATAGTTAATGTGGGCACTACAAGAAATACAATAATTATGAAGACAGAAAGACAGATCCGACAGCGCTCTCGATTTAGGCGAATAACTCCAGCTCTATGCATTACACTATGTGGTAAAAACCAATCTTACACGACTGCACGGGAGTCTGTTCCTTAAAACTTTTAATTAATATCCGAAATGGAGGACTTTGAGTCCTAAACCCTTAGATTTTTAATGGTGAGCTAAAATAGTCCGAGTAGTAATGTACTACAAAGAGATAGGCTACACTTGACGTGAGAGATAGCGAAGGGGGGGGGGGGAAGAAAGAAGAAGAAGAAGAAGAAGAAGAAGAAGAAGAAGAAGAAGAAGAAGAAGAAGAAGAAGAAGAAGAAGAAGAAGAAGAAGAAGAAAGAGGAGGAGGAGGAGGAGGTATTTATTATTTTTAGTAAAGGTTTTACGGCGCTTGCAGCTGCGTAAGGTCATATGAGCGCCAGAAGATAATTATTAGAGGTGTTAAGAGTAACTACCATAAAAAAAGAAGAATAAGGAGAGATACGATAGGTGTTTGATAGGAAAGAAGGAACAAACCACACCAGAGCACCCGTCAACCACCCATGCTAATCCTCTGTATTCACCAAAAAAGCAATGTGAGCCTAGACAGAGGATTTTTTGTTTTAATTATTATTACATCAAGATATTTCAATGAAAAAAACCCAAAGACAAATGCTGTAGTATTACATTTTTGTTTGGTTGCTGGCCTGCAAAAAAGCTACGCGTTAAGTTTCTTGGGCATAGTTAACCGTAATAAATTAGCTAGATTTTATTTAGTGGTCAAAATTAAATAAAATAATAGTGTCTGAGTGTCTGTATCGATGCCAAAGAAATATAAGAATTGTTCCCGTTCAAATCTTTCATTGATCATCGATCATGCACGACCAAAATATGAAGACAGCCGCCTGAATAAAGATATGAACTATATAGACTGATCTAAGTCTATGGCAAATATTTACGCGCAAAAAGGAGAATAAAAACGGCACTAGAGTTTGATTGGTCACTTGTTTTGAGGTCCCTTTCGTTGTTTTTTTCTTTTGCAAAAATAGCGCTAGTTGAATAAAGCTTTGTTTATGAAACAAATCCCAAAGCAAGTATAAAAAATAATAATATAATAAACCGGGCAGCAAAAAAAAAGAAAAAAAAAGAAGGATATTCAACAATAGCAGTAAGACAAAATAGTACCCCTTTCCAAATCTGAGCTAGAAAAACAAATAAAATAAAAACACGTCGAAGGAATGCAGAGACGACAAAATTGGGAACCCAAGGGCTATTTATAGACCATTTGTGAAAGACAAGAGTTGGCTTAATTATTTCAACCGTTTAGAAGATAGAGTCAAGTCTCTGCAGCAGTGTTGTGAAGCAAAGAGATTCCAATTTTCCCCCCATTAAGCAACAGACCTACATTTCTAGCTTTGACCGTAACATTCTCTACATTTGGGATTTTGTATCGGGTTAAATAGCGGTCGGTCCCAGTTTGTTTGAAAGAGAATGACCCCAATTTGACTGTGGTATTTGACTCATTTTTTTGTTTGGTCTTTATGATATCTCT